TTCACGTCGAAGACAACGAATGACTATCTACATCATCATCACATCGAATACACGCTCACAGTGCCGTACGCACCACGGACAAACGGACATGTTGAGAGAGCCAACGGTCGAAATCTCCCACCTTTGCGCAAGAATGTTAATGGAGATGTCGACCACTGGTGTGAATACCTTGCCAAAACCACCTTCGAAGTCAACGCAATGTTCCAGGCTGGACTCAAGACTTCACCATTCGAACTGTCGTTTATTTACACACCTCGAAGGATAATTGACAACGAGCTGCAGGTATACAACAACGAGCCCACACAAGACATCGAGATGGTCCGTCAAGAAGCATTTGACAACATAACAGCCTACCTAAATGTTATGAAAACCGAACACGATGAAAGCATCCGCCAGCACCCTATGAAGTGGGTGATCAAGTCTGGTACGAGACACCATCCAAAGCCGGGCAGTTTGATACTTGGTACGACGGACAATACACGAGTACTGACCGCGACAAGGAAACTTTCACGATCACCAGAATGAAGACAAATCGCACAGAAACAAGGCTGGCCAGCGCATCGCAGTTAAAGTGCTTTCATGAAAAAACACAAGACACAACCCCATAGTGCACGATGACTCCATGCAATATCTCTTTGATTCGTTAATAAATCAGTTGTTGGTCGTTCAATCAGTCGTGTCATCGTATGCATCAACCCCTGACACCCCCCATTACAGTTAGAGGTAGAAGAGGTGGAGGTGCTGGACGTGGTGGGAACGGTGCTGGTGGAACACCTGCATGAATATGATTTATTTCAGATAAAACGTCAGATAAAATGTGTTCAACATAAAACTCCTAGTGCAAAAAGAAAAGCAGCATAGCAAGGAGGTAGCTCATAAGAAAACACTGCTTACAAATACTAGTGGTTTCTCGAAACACAAAATGGGCGCGAGTGTCGCTTGCCAGAATATCCACCAGTAGGAAGCATGCTTTAACGCAAAGTTCACTGTTCATTGAAACAGGGCCACACTCTGCATAGCTAGGTAATACATAGCCTATACTTGGTCTTGCTCGATTAGTCATAGGCTCACGACATTCTCAACTTTGCATGTTCTTCTAGGTGAGGAAGTAGACGTCTGACTAGCTCAGGGACTCACCCGGCGCTCTTGGGACCCCCACTACAGCTGGAGGTGGGCCAGGCGAAGGTGCGAAACGTGGTGACCCAGGTGCTTGTGGGGCACCTGCATGAATATGATTTATTTCAGATACAACATGTTCAACATAAAACTGCTAATGCAAAAGGAAAACCAGCATAGCAAGAAGGTAGCTAATTAGCAAACACTGCTTACATATTGTGACGTGCCATTGTGCTCGCCAGATATACTGGGTTCCGAGGCGGCCGAAGAAGGACATCCACACTCTTTCAGGATCAGGAGGGGACTGCAAGACCCCTTTTTTATTTGACGTTGCTCGAACGTCCGTGAGCCCGGCACCGGTTTAGTTCATTTTCCTCGCGCAAAGGCGCGAGACACGCACCGAGTGTCGTCTGCTATAGCTGCTCACATGCCTGGGTTTGGAACCTAGTCGTTCTGACTCCATACAGAAAACAATAAGACCTACATAACTAAACTAACTTAAACAGTCGTATTTGTAACTATTTACAAATGTCAACAAAATAATGTCTATTCACTTTCAAGCACACAAAACTATATACAAGCGCAAACAACTATTTACACTGCACGGCCCCCAGGTACACATTAGTCCGAAGCATTGGGTTGCTCTATGTGAGTAATGGGGCACAGATATGCACCTATTTTTTTCAATATGCACAATGTCATCTTCCCGTGCTGTTCGCGAGTTCGATCTCGTCGTTCACGGAAGACTCAGTATATTGTGAGGTCCGGTGTACAATGTAATTGCTTTCACACCGAACATTGGAGCCTTGGGGAGCACCAGTTGTCCTTTTTCAAACACAACGTCCTTGTGGTGCTTGTCAAAGTGCCACTTCTGTCTTTCTTGAGCCAGTCGGATGTGTGCGGCTGCGAGGTCCCCAACGTTTTGTAGTAGTTCACGCACTACCGTGAAATAGTTTAGTCTTCTTTGTGCTCTTCAAGCTCTCGGCGACTGTATACAAAATCCAATTGTAGCACCAGATCCCTACCGTAGACAATGAAGAAGAAAGTTTGGTGAACCGTGTCATGGTACCCGGTGTTGTAACAGAATACAATAAAAGGGAGGACATCTGCCCATATTTTTTCCTCGGTGGTAGTCATGGCAAACACATGTTTGGTTTTCTTATTGGCTCTTTCGCAAAAGCAGCTTGCTGCAGTGAGATATTCGGTATTGGCAGCATGTTTGATGCCCCAATGTTTGAAGTGTGCTTTAGTAGATAGCGCCAATATTTGAGTCGTGCGGTCTGTGATGATTGTGGCTGGGCATTTGTGCTTCAATATGACACGTCGTTCGACAACCTTCTGGACGGTTGTGGCCTGTATGTTTCGAGCTGGTTTCGCGTCCGCAAATTTTGTAAGGTAATCAATGGCTACAATGATATACTTGTAACCTCCTGCAAGTTTTGAATGGCCTATTGTGTCCATCTCCTCTGTGTGAAAGGGGCTGTGGTCTTCTATTGGCTGTAATAGACTGTAAGGCACCGATGTCGTCATCTCCATCCTCTGACAAAGGTCACAGTGACACACTTACCCTCTGACGTCTGCATAGAGCTTCGGTCAGTAATACTTAGACTTTAGGGCATGGAATGTTCGCCTGGTGCGAATGTGATCACCGTATCGTCCTTCATGCATTTCACGAAGTGCCTCAGCTTGTCATTGTGCAGGAAGTCAAAGAAGAAATCGACTGCTGACTGGGCCTTGGTCTCTTTTATACAGCACGTCGTTATGCGTGATAAACCTATTTTGCACCCGTTTCTGTTGCGTTTTCGTGCCTAACGGACCCCTAAGCATATCCAGGACTTTAGTGACAAAGGAATCCTGAAGCTGCTCCTCACCCATGTTGTCACAGAATTGCAGTGATAGATATAACACTGCAATAATATGTTCGGCATTATCCACAATGAGGGGATACCTGGAAAGACAATCTGGTGTGCTGTGCAGGATTTCTGGTTTGCAGATGACAGGAAAGTAAAATTCCTGCATAACCAGTGACAAACGAAGAAAACGTTGGTTTCCTTCTTTGTAGACGACACTGCTTGAAAAAATGGCCACTTCTGGAGCAGTTGATTGATTTGTGGGGTTTAACGTGTCAAAACCACTATTTGATTATGAGAGACGCCGTAGTGGAGGGCTCCGGAAATTTTGACCACCTGGGGTTCTTTAACGTGCACCCAAATCTCAGTACACGGGCCTACAACATTTCCGCCTCCATCGGAAATGCAGCCGCCACAGCCGGGATTTGAACTTGCGACCTGCGGGTCAGTAGCCGAGTACCTTAGCCACTAGACCACCGTGGTGGGGCACTTCTGGAGCAGTTCAAGCATAGTTTACGAACTCTCAAGGCATTTCCTTGCGACCATTCAAAAACACGCGTTGTGGAATGAGTCGATATCCGAGACGGTGTGAACTTCGCTTTCGTATCCCGTTTCATCTTTCTCTCAGCTACTTCCTCATCTGAGGAACCCCTAGACTCTATGCTGTCCACACGTTGACGATGACGCATAGGCTTCCGAGGCGAATGCTTTGCGATAGCAGTTAGCGCTGCTCCATTAGGTCGAGCTTTCGGTGTGCGAAGTATATATATATGACTCACCTGGCTGTTGCGTCGCTCCGAACATTCACTGCTTAGATATTACACCGCAGTCCATGTAATAACGTCAGCGGAATGCTGCCTTCATGTCAACCCAAGTACTGATACTAGCCACCTTCTTGTGGTGGCACATCCATGTAAAGTTTTTACCTGGGAGCCTCGAAATAATGAATGACATGATGTCGTCATCGGGAACGCTGAAGGTTCCAACCTTAGTAAATTTTCGCGAGATGCGTAAGGAGCTCGCCCCGAAACTTGAAAGTCGGTCGCCAGCGTCTTCTCTGTTAGATAGAAAAGACGCTGGCGTACATTGGAGTATAGCTTCTGGCTTGTTTTTGTTACTTTCTCGAGCCGCTTTTGAGATTCAACGATGCACTGCTCTCTTTTGAGCTCGTGCTTGATTCGTTGTCAGAAATTTCACGCGTTTTGGACTCTAGACGCTCGATGCGCTCAACTTGTGGAGCAAGTTAGTTACACACTAGGTCGTGACTTGCCTTCATCTGCGAATTAAGAGGCGGTTTTGGTGCATCTTTGTCTTTAAAGGCCTTGTGGTCCTTGAGAATCATCAGTTTCAGTTTCTCCAATTTGCTCAGGAGCTGACCCATCTCGATCCGTCGAATATCGCCTTTGGACGCAGCTGATCGGTAGGCTTCCGCACGGGCGGCGTCATCCAGCTGCTTGAACACGTTGACAGAACACGAGGTTATCGCCATCTTGAGATCACGGAGCCGACGCCGTCCACACAAGTGGTTGAGCTAAAGGAGCGTGTAGGGAGCAACATCCCCACATAAAACATGTAAACGTCTTCTTAGTTCACTTCAAGCCGTTGGGCGCCGATTGTCACGTGCCATTGTAGCCGTCGAATATACTAGGTTCCGACGTGGCCTAAGAAGGACGTCCACACTCTTTAAAAATCAGGAAGGGACTGCCAGACCCTTTTTCTTATTCGACGTTCCTCGAGTGCCCGTGAGCCTGGCGCTGATCTAATTCGTTTTCCTCGCGCAAAGGCGCGAAACACGCACAAAGCGTCGTCTGCTATAGCTCGTCACAAGTATACTAGTGGTTTCTCGAAACACACGTTAGGCGCGAGGTTGTCACTTGCCAGAGAGATTCACCGGAAGGGCACACATTTATTTATGCAAAGTTCAATGTTCTTTGAAAAAGGCCCACACTATGCATACCTTGGTCATGCATAGTTGATAACTGTCTTGTTAAAGTGATCATGGAGCTCAGAAACTTCTCAACTTCGCATGTTTTTCTAAGTGAGGAAGTAGACATCTGAGTAGCTCAGAGACTCACCCGGTGCTCTTGGGCCCCCCATGACAGCTCGGCCATGTGGAGTTGCTGGACGTGGTGGCCCTAGTGCTGGTGGAACACCTGCATAAATAGAATTTATTTCAGATACAAGGTGTTTTACATGAAACTGCTAATGCGAAAGGAAAAGTAGCATAGGAAAGAGGTAGCTAATTATCAAACACTGCTTACATATACTAGTGGTTTCTCGAAACACACGTTGGACGCGAAGCTATCACTTGCCAGAAAGATTCACCAGAAGGTCACACTATTATGAATGGAAAACTCAATGTTCTTTGAAACAGGTCCTAACTATGCATACCTGGGTCATGCATAGCTGACGCCCGTCTTCTTAGACAGTCCAAGAAGCTCGCAAACTTCTCAACTTCTCATGTTCTTCTAGGTGAGGAAGTAGACATCTGACTAGCACAGAGACTCACCTGGCGCTCCTAGGCCCCGCATGAAAGCTGGGCCAGGTAGAAGTGCTGGTCGTGGTGGTCCCAATGCTGGCAGAACACCTGCATGAATAGGGTTTATTTCAAATACAAAGTGTTCTTCATGAAACTGCTCATGCAAAAGGAAAAAAGAAGCATACCAAGAAGGTCGCTAATTATCAAACACTCCTTATATATGCTAGTGGTTTCTCAAAACACACGTTGGGCGCAAGGTTGTCGATTGGCAGAAGGATTCACCGTTAGGCTACACATTTATTATGCAAATTTCAATGTTCTTCGAAACAGGGCCACACTATGCATAGCAGGGTCAGACATTTATTTATGCAAAATTCAAAGTCCTCTAAAAACATGGCCACACTATGCATAGCTGGGTGATGCAGAGGTGATACCTGTATTGTTAGATTAGTCATGGAGCTTACGACCTTCTCAACTTCGCATATTCTTCTAGGTGAGGAAGTAGACATCTGACTAGCTCAGAGACTCACCTGGCGGTCTTGGGCCCCCCATGACAGCTGGAGGTGGGCCAGGTGGAGGTGCTGGACGTAGTGGTCCCGGTGCTGGTGGAACACCTGCATAAATTTGACTTAATTCAGATACGACGTGTTCAACATAAAACTGCTAGTGCAAAAAGATAAACACCATAGCACGAAGATAGCTAATTAGCAAACACTGCTTAGACATACTCGTGGTTTCTTGAAACACACGTTGGTCGCGAGGTTGTCGCTTGCCAACAAGATTCACCAGTGGGCCACACACTTAGTTATGCAAAGGTCAATGTTTTTAAATCAAGGCTACACTATGCATTGCTGGGCAATGCAAAGCTGATACCTGTCTTGTTACATTAATCATAGAGCTCACGACCTTCTCAACTTCGCATGTTCATCCAGGTGAGAAAGTAGACATCTAGCTAGCTCAGAGACTCACCCGGTGCTCTTGCGCCCCCCATGATAGCTGGAGGTGGGCCAGGTGGAGGAGCTAGACCTGGTGGCTCCGGTGCTGGTGGCACACCTGCATGAATATGATTTATTTCAGATACAACCTGTTCAACACATTACTGTAAATGCAGAAAGAAAAGGAGCATACAAAGAAGGTAGCTAATTAGCAAATACTGGTTACATATACTAGTGGTTTCGCGAAACACACATTGGGCGCGAGGTTGTCGCTTTTGAGAAAGATTTACCGTGATGTCAGACATTTACTTATGCAAAATTGAATGTCCGCTAAAACAGGGCCACACTATGCATAGCTGGGTCATGCATAGCTGATACCTGTAATGTTAGATTAGTCATGGAGCTTACGACCTTCTCAACTTCGCATATTCTTCTAGGTGAGGAAGTAGACATCTGAGTAGCTCAGAGACTCACCTGGCGCTCTTGGGCCCCCCATGACAGCAGGAGGTGGGCCAGGTGGAGGTGCTGGACGTAGTGGTCCCGGTGCTGGTGGAACACCTGCATAAATTTGACTTAATTCAGATACGACGTGTTCAACATAAAACTGCTAATGCAAAAAGATAAACACCATAGCACGAAGATAGCTAATTAGCAAACACTGCTTAGACATACTCGTGGTTTCTTGAAACACTCGTTGGTCGCGAGGTTGTCGCTTGCCAATAATATTCACCAGTGGGCCACACACTTATTTATGCAAAGGTCAATGCTTTTAAATCAAGGCTACACTATGCATTGCTGGGTAATGCAAAGCTGATACCTGTCTTGTTATATTAATCATAGAGCTCACGACCTTCTCAACTTCGCATGTTCATCCAGGTGAGAAAGTAGACATCTAGCTAGCTCAGAGACTCACCCGGTGCTCTTGCGCCCCCCATGATAGCTGGAGGTGGGCCAGGAGGAGGAGCTAGACCTGGTGGCTCCGGTGCTGGTGGCACACCTGCATGAATATGATTTATTTCAGATACAACCTGTTCAACACATTACTGTAAATGCAGAAAGAAAAGGAGCATACAAAGAAGGTAGCTTATTAGCAAATACTGGTTACATATACTAGTGGTTTCGCGAAACACACATTGGGCGCGAGGTTGTCGATTTTGAGAAAGATTTACCGTGTAGTCAGACATTTACTTATGCAAAATTGAATGTCCGCTAAAACAGGGCCACACTATGCATTGCTGGGTCATGCATAGCTGATACCTGTAATGTTAGATTAGTCATGGAGCTTACGACCTTCTCAACTTCGCATATTCTTCTAGGTGAGGAAGTAGACATCTGAGTAGCTCAGAGACTCACCTGGCGCTCTTGGGCCCCCCATGACAGCTGGAGGTGGGCCAGGTGGAGGTGCTGGACGTAGTGGTCCCGGTGCTGGTGGAACACCTGCATAAATTTGACTTAATTCAGATACGACGTGTTCAACATAAAACTGCTAATGCAAAAAGATAAACACCATAGCACGAAGATAGCTAATTAGCAAACACTGCTTAGACATACTCGTGGTTTCTTGAAACACTCGTTGGTCGCGAGGTTGTCGCTTGCCAATAATATTCACCAGTGGGCCGTCACTTATTTATGCAAAGGTCAATGTTTTTAAATCAAGGCTACACTATGCATTGCTGGGTAATGCAAAGCTGATACCTGTCTTGTTATATTAATCATAGAGCTCACGACCTTCTCAACTTCGCATGTTCATCCAGGTGAGAAAGTAGACATCTAGCTAGCTCAGAGACTCACCCGGTGCTCTTGCGCCCCCCATGATAGCTGGAGGTGGGCCAGGTGGAGGAGCTAGACCTGGTGGCTCCGGTGCTGGTGGCACACCTGCATGAATATGATTTATTTCAGATACAACCTGTTCAACACATTACTGTAAATGCAGAAAGAAAAGGAGCATACAAAGAAGGTAGCTCATTAGCAAATACTGGTTACATATACTAGTGGTTTCGCGAAACACACATTGGGCGCGAGGTTGTCGCTTTTGAGAAAGATTTACCGTGATGTCAGACATTTACTTATGCAAAATTCAATGTCCGCTGAAACAGGGCCACACTTATGCATAGCTGGGTCATGCATAGCTGATACCTGTAATGTTCGATTAGTCATGGAGCTTACGACCTTCTCAACTTCGCATATTCTTCTAGGTGAGGAAGTAGACATCTGAGTAGCTCAGAGACTCACCTGGCGCTCTTGGGCCCCCCATGACAGCAGGAGGTGGGCCAGGTGGAGGTGCTGGACGTAGTGGTCCCGGTGCTGGTGGAACACCTGCATAAATTTGACTTAATTCAGATACGACGTGTTCAACATAAAACTGCTAATGCAAAAAGATAAACACCATAGCACGAAGATAGCTAATTAGCAAACACTGCTTAGACATACTCGTGGTTTCTTGAAACACTCGTTGGTCGCGAGGTTGTCGCTTGCCAATAATATTCACCAGTGGGCCACACACTTATTTATGCAAAGGTCAATGCTTTTAAATCAAGGCTACACTATGCATTGCTGGGTAATGCAAAGCTGATACCTGTCTTGTTATATTAATCATAGAGCTCACGACCTTCTCAACTTCGCATGTTCATCCAGGTGAGAAAGTAGACATCTAGCTAGCTCAGAGACTCACCCGGTGCTCTTGCGCCCCCCATGATAGCTGGAGGTGGGCCAGGTAGGAGGAGCTAGACCTGGTGGCTCCGGTGCTGGTGGCACACCTGCATGAATATGATTTATTTCAGATACAACCTGTTCAACACATTACTGTAAATGCAGAAAGAAAAGGAGCATACAAAGAAGGTAGCTTATTAGCAAATACTGGTTACATATACTAGTGGTTTCGCGAAACACACATTGGGCGCGAGGTTGTCGATTTTGAGAAAGATTTACCGTGTATGTCAGACATTTACTTATGCAAAATTCAATGTCCGCTGAAACAGGGCCACACTATGCATAGCTGGGTCATGCATAGCTGATACCTGTAATGTTAGATTAGTCATGGAGCTTACGACCTTCTCAACTTCGCATATTCTTCTAGGTGAGGAAGTAGACATCTGAGTAGCTCAGAGACTCACCTGGCGCTCTTGGGCCCCCCATGTCAGCTGGAGGTGGGCCAGGTGGAGGTGCTGGACGTAGTGGTCCCGGTGCTGGTGGAACACCTGCATAAATTTGACTTAATTCAGATACGACGTGTTCAACATAAAACTGCTAATGCAAAAAGATAAACACCATAGCACGAAGATAGCTAATTAGCAAACACTGCTTAGACATACTCGTGGTTTCTTGAAACACTCGTTGGTCGCGAGGTTGTCGCTTGCCAATAATATTCACCAGTGGGCCATCACTTATTTATGCAAAGGTCAATGTTTTTAAATCAAGGCTACACTATGCATTGCTGGGTAATGCAAAGCTGATACCTGTCTTGTTATATTAATCATAGAGCTCACGACCTTCTCAACTTCGCATGTTCATCCAGGTGAGAAAGTAGACATCTAGCTAGCTCAGAGACTCACCCGGTGCTCTTGCGCCCCCCATTATAGCTGGAGGTGGGCCAGGTGGAGGAGCTAGACCTGGTGGCTCCGGTGCTGGTGGCACACCTGCATGAATATGATTTATTTCAGATACAACCTGTTCAACACATTACTGTAAATGCAGAAAGAAAAGGAGCATACAAAGAAGGTAGCTCATTAGCCAATACTGGTTACATATATTACTGGTTTCGCGAAACACACATTGGGTGCGAGGTTGTCGCTTTTGAGAAAGATTTACCGTGATGTCAGACATTTACTTATGCAAAATTCAATGTCCGCTGAAACAGGGCCACTCTATGCATAGCTGGGTCATGCATAGCTGATACCTGTAATGTTAGATTAGTCATGGAGCTTACGACCTTCTCAACTTCACATATTCTTCTAGGTGAGGAAGTAGATATCTGAGTAGCTCAGAGACTCACCTGGCGCTCTTGGGCCCCCCATGACAGCTGGAGGTGGGCCAGGTGGAGGTGCTGGACGTAGTGGTCCCGGTGCTCGTGGAACACCTGCATAAATTTGACTTAATTCAGATACGACGTGTTCAACATAAAACTGCTAATGCAAAAAGATAAACACCATAGCATGAAGATAGCTAATTAGCAAACACTGCTTAGACATACTCTTGGTTTCTTGAAACACTCGTTGGTCGCGAGGTTGTCGCTTGCCAATAATATTCACCAGTGGGCCACACACTTATTTATGCAAAGGTCAATGTTTTTAAATCAAGGCTACACTATGCATTGCTGGGTAATGCAAAGCTGATACCTGTCTTGTTATATTAATCATAGAGCTCACGACCTTCTCAACTTCGCATGTTCATTCAGGTGAGAAAGTAGACATCTAGCTAGCTCAGAGACTCACCCGGTGCTCTTGCGCCCCCCATGATAGCTGGAGGTGGGCCAGGTGGAGGTGCTAGACCTGGAAAACCTGCATGAACATGATTTATTTCATATACAACGTGTTCAACATAAAACTGCTAATGCAAAAAGAAAAGCAGCATAGCAAAAAGGTAGCTCATTAGCAAATATTGCTTACAAATACTAGTGGTTTGTCGAAACACCAAATGAGCACGAGAGTGTCGTCTCCAGAAAATTCACCGGCAAGTCACATATTGTTGATGCAAAGTTCAATGCTCATTGAAACAGGGCCACACTAGGCCTAGCTGTGTAATACATAGCTTATACTTGGCCTTGTTAGATTAGTCATGGAGCTCAGAATCTTCTCGACTTCGCATGTTCTTACAGGTAAGGAAGTAGACATCTGAGTAGCTCAGAGACTCACCCGGCACTCTTAGGCCCCCTATGGCAGCTGGAGGTGGGCCAGGTAGAGGTGCTAGACGTGGTGGTTCCTGTGCTAGTGAGAAACCTGCATGAATATGATTTATTTCACATATAAGTTGTTTAACACAAAACTGCCGTGACCGCTGGATAAAAAAGGTGTGGCTTTTTGCGTTGCGCCCACGTGAATGGGCAAGTGCGTTTCTTCAGGGTTGACGGTTTCGGCCACTTTTGGGGGGAGGGCGCTGACGCTCCACCCGTCAAAGCGAACGGCATTTGTTGTTTCAATGTGGTCGCGTGTGGATTTCTGCATGTCCGTGTACTTTCTCCGGGTGATTTCTCTTGCTTTTTTGTGATAGCAATTATATGGACACTCTCGGCTTGATTTAGCCACCAGCATCAGCGTCGGCGTCACTCACCGTATATGTATACATATATCTATATATAATAATGCAAGGACGAAAAAAATGACGAAAAAGACTTCAGTGCGCGGAAGCGAACTTGGATCGTCTAAATCGTGAGTGAAACGCGTTAACCACTGAGGCACCGAAGAGCACGTTCCTTCAAAGCTCAAAGGCAAACTATATCTTCCACTTACCGCTGCTAACGGGCATCTCGGGAGGTGGGGGAGCTATCGTGTTTTCAGCATTACCAGCAAAATGGCGCAATGAGCGCAGGTAGCAACATCGTCCCGGCACGGCGGGCACGATCTCATCTTCCACGCGCGCTTGGCCCCGCAAAGGACCGAGGGTCGACGCTCCTCGCGCGCCTTTATCTCGCGGTATGGAGGATAGTGCGTCTTAGCTGGCATTCGGCTTTCACCAGAGCAGTGCTGTTTTAGATATGGGGTGCAAAAAGGTCACTGCAATCGTTGCACAATCTACGTTTGCGAAAAGAGCATGCTTTTCAGACACATCGAAGTAACAACTGAGATGCTTATTCGCGTTTATCTGTATCTGAGAGTACATTTCGTGTGTTATTTGTGCGCGAGAAACATGGGGCACGTTTCTACCTGCTAGACAATCTGCGCGCGACCACCCAATTTGTTGCTATCACATTCATTGCGTCGCATTTGGGGCAAAGCTGTGACTTTTTTGTGTTCAATTGTGTGTGGGGGGAGGAGGCCTCATGCTTTTTTGTAATTGAGTAAGATTTTGTGATGCGCGCGTGTGTAGCAGACGGTTGTTTTTCAATCGTATGACGCCGCGAATCAGTTGTGTGCCGCTGAGAATCTCCAACGCGAATAAAGACGCTACAATGAAGCACAGTGTATTCGCCGGCAATTTACAGTTTCAAAAAGCGTATCGCGATGCGTGTTATACGTAACTAAGCACATCGTTGTGTCACAAACGAGCGCTGAAGCCGGCGCGTTCCACTGCCTCCAGACGACAGCATCAAATCATCCTGTCCAATGTTCCTGTCACGGCAAGCGCAGCGAACCAAGAAACCAGGCATCAAAAGGTGCCCATGGTGTGCCCTTACCCTCTAAGCACGCGACCGCCAACTAGAACAGACGGCGAGAAATAGCAACATGGATGTGGGGCCTCTCTTGATGATGATATGTGGGGTTTAACGTCCCAAAACCACCATATGAATATGAGAGACGTCGTAGTGGAGGGCTCCCGAGACTTCGACCGCCTGAGGTTCTTTATCGTACACCCAAATCTGAGCACACGGGCCTACAGCATTTAAACCTCTATCTGAAAATGCCTATATGAAGACGACAATTTTGCAGACAAACCGGCGAGATGAAAGCCTTTCCCCTGGCTGCCACCCTTGTACGTGCTACGCGCGGTACAATGTTCGCAAAACCAGGAAGGATCCAAACTAGAGATGTTGCAGGGTGTATCCGATGGTGAACCTTGGCCAACAAGTTTTGATGTTTGAGCAGTGAGTCGTGAGAGTATTTAGTCGATATTATAGAATGCAGTTATGACGCCGCGGCAGTACATTGTTGATGATTATCGCTGGGACGACGACGACGACAAGGGCTGGAGTTCGTTTCAGTGATTCCTTGAAGAAAACTTTTGACACACCCTCGAATAATTGCGAAGTACAAACGTGTAGTTGGCCGCTCAGTGCTCGGGCGCAGTTTATGATGCGTGAGATTACATTTGCAGTGCGGTAGGTTTGTTCCCCTTTTGTTTTAAATACCTTCTACGTGATCTTGTGGGTTGTAATTGGTGGCTGCCGAGTGTGCGAGTTTTTGTGATGGGTTTTCTGGGAATACATACATTGTTTAGGTCATAAACTCATGCTTCTTCTCTCCGTCCTTGAACCACAACTGGCGTTGTAATTCACTAAACGAACTTGCAGGTACAAGGTGTTCCTCGTAAAACTGCCTATCCAAAAGGAGTAGTAGCATGGCGAAAAGGAGGCTCATTAGTAAACACTGCTTACATAGACTAGTGGTTTCTCGAAACACATATTGGGCACGATAGTGTCGCTGGCCACAAAAGCTTTCCGGCATGTCACACATTTATCTATGCACAGCGATGCGCTCTTTCTAACAGGACAAACTTATGCATAGCTGGGTCATGTGCAGCTGATACCCATGTTGTTAGATTGACCATGGAGCTCTTTAACACGACCTTCCCGATTTCGTATGCTCTTATGGAGGAGGAGCAAGTAGACATCCGACAAACTCTGAGACTGACCCGGCGCTCATGTGCCCCCCATGACAGCTGGAGGTGGGCCAGGTAAATGTGCTGAAATTGTTGGTCGTGGTGCTGGTGGAATATCTGCATGAATATTATTTATTTCCGATAGAAGGGGTTCAACATAAAACTTCTTATACAAAAAGAATAGCAGCATGACAAAAAAGGTAGCTAATTAGCAAACACCACTTATATACACTAGTGGTTTCTCAAAACACACATTGGGCGCGAAAGTGTCGCTCGCCAGAAAGATTCATTGGAAGGTTGCACGTTTATTTATGCATAGAGTAATGTTCATTGAAACAGGACAATACCATGCATAGCTGGGTTATGCATAGCTTGTACCTATGTTTTTTAAATTGGTTATGAAGCTCCCAACCTTTTCAACTTCGCATGTTCTTCTTAATGAGAGAGTAGACATCTGACAAGTTGAGAGACTCACCCGGCGTTCTTGGGCCCCCCATGACAGCTGGAGGTGGTCCCGGTGGAGGTTCTCTACGTGGTGGTCCCTGTGCTTGTGCAACACCTTCATGACAATAATTCATGTCAGATAATAGGTTTTCAACAAGAAACTGCTAATAGAAAAGGAAAGTGGCATGAAAAGAAGGCAGTTTATTAGCAAATACTGCTTACATATACTTGTGGATTCTTGAAACACATATTGGTCGCGATAGTCTTGCTAGACAGAAAGATTCAACGGCAGGCCACAGATATGCTTATGCTCATTGTAATGTTTATTGAAACAGGACCAGACTATGCATAGCTGGGTCCAGTGTTGCGTATTTGCCATTCTGGAATTTGAATCAATTTTTAATCATTCCACCCATTCGTGACCTCGGGTTGCGATGGGAGTGGAATAGGGAAAATGATTGGAAGAATGGAATGAAAGTAGAATTAGGCACCTTTTACTAATCACATATTTTATAAAAATAAGCACGTTTTCGTCTACGTGCTGTTGTGCAAACTTCAAACACTAGTGAATCAGAACCATAAATTTAAATATAAACCAGCATTTCTATAATGGCTTGCCTGATTACAAACAAATTACATTTATAAGCAGCATGCCTACTACAGGTTTGTCCTTATAATGACTGTGCTCCTCTGATGTTTGTCTCAATTTTTTGCGTAACCCCAGTTGAGCTGAACAATGGCAGAAACATGTCCCCCCCCCGCCCATCTCTTCCGGCCTTGTTATTTTTTTTTTGCCCTCGGCGACACCCAGCTACTGTCCACTGCCGTCTCCTTTTTTCAAACCCTTCACGTATTTGTGCTAGCGTCTGCCAACGTCAGTCGACTCGGACGCATGTTTGGAAAAACACTAAGTTGTGATGTGTATTAACGCTACCGCGATGCTTTTGTTCACTGTAATCTCACTTCGTACTACCCCCTCACCCTTACTTTCGCCATACCACCCCCCTTTCTCTCAAACAAATGAGCGCCTTTGCCCGATGGTCCGTAGGCGAGGGTTTCTAGGTCAGTGCAGCGCACAGTCGTACACAAAAAACTGAGTGCACTCCCCCTCCCTACAGACAGAGAGAATATACATTTGAAAGCATTGGTTCCGGAAGCCGCTCGAAGCAGAAAAGCCCACGTAACCATGGCCATGGCGGTGCCTCGCCTGCTTCCGAAGAAAACCCACGTGGCGAACTAAACCTCCTTCGCTCTGTTCTAGGGGAGAAGGAAGGCCCGGGTGGCGGCGCCGCCACCGCCGCGCGAGTTGGCAGCTAGATAAGCACTACCATAATGCACTACCACCGAGGCTCCTATGTCCAGTGGTTCACTCTAGAGCAGCTCACGTTAGTGAAAAGCAACTTGTATTTAGGTACACGGCAATTGTTTTATTACACTTTTTTTAGAGCCAACCATTCAAGGAGCCGTTCAGTTAAAATTCGGGTTTTAAATGCAACCAGCGAATTATCCTAACAGCTCTTCACACTTCGTTGCAATATTTTGATAAATGAAACCAAAATGAAGTTATTTTAGCATCTTGTACTACTTGCGACCTTTATTCAAGCACTCAAAATGCCAAAGACGCCCAAGCACTTTTTGTGACCTAAATCTATTGACCAAAGAAATAGTGACCGATTGTCAAACGTGTTTCGGAAACAAGGCGTAAGAGAGATGAAGCCAAGGAAATCCGACGTCACAGCATCTAGAGCTGAGAGCTGGCTATCCCGCACACTTAGTGCTCCGGGGTGGGGTCATTTCATTAGCATTGTTATTTTTTGTAAGTTCGCTTACTTTCTACGACTCGGCACATATTAGTGTTCGCATCGCAAAGCAAAGAGGACATTGCGGAGTATTTTTACACAAAAATATTTGCTAGTACTGTAATATTGTTGCGAGGCAGTGGGCATGGCTCCGACGTCGTAAACGCATTGATGAAAAAGCGGATTCGGCGCGCGAGATCCTAGCAGCCCTGGGGTGTCACACCTATCTGTAAATATTGCAAATACACTCGTTTCTCTCTTCCGTGTATCTGTAATCCCCGTAACAAATTGGTGGACGTGCTGGGTAACGAAGCGCCATACAACGGAGCTCCGCAGTGGTCGTCAAATCGGAGTTTCCGTGATGGAACACGGGACTTATCCCATTGCCACCTCTCCATCGACCTCGGCGACGCCTGCACCATCCACGACAACGCCTCCACCGCCCCCCCCCCGCCCCCGTACGTGCTGACGCATTTATAACATCTAGGAACGCTCTGCGGTACGGATGAAGTTAATTTTGACGACTGGATAGCTGACTACGAACGTACCAGTGTGCTTAACCGGTATGACCCGATTCTCATGCTGGCCAACGTGCTGTTTTACCTGAAAGACACGGCCAAAGTCTGGTACGAGAACCCTGAAGAGGAGATCGGCAGTTGGGACACATTCAAGGAGAAGCTTCGTGACTTATGTGGGACGCCCATCGGTCGAAAGGCGGCTGCAAAGAAGGAGTTGTCTGTACGTGCT